ACACACACACACACACACACACACACACACAAACACACACAAACACGCACACACACAAACACACACTAACACACTCACACACACATATACACAGATACACACATCACTGTGTCCCATTGATGAAGTCCTTCTTTCTTCTGTCACCATTTCTTTTTTATCCATCCTATTTCCTTCCTTCCTTCCCTCTGTGTTCCCTGTTACCCGCCTTGCGTCTTCCAACTCCACTTTTTCAAGGCACATTCCACCATTCCATTACACTGTTATTACAGTAATTTATGCCAAAAGTCCTTTGTATATAGATCTTTTTTTTTCTCTCTCTCTCTCTCTCTATCTCTCTCTCTCTCTCTCTCTCTCTCTCTCTCTCTCTCTCGTTCTCTCTCTCTCTTTCTGTTTAATATCTATTTTAAAAAAAATATATATAAGATAGTAAAAATTATGTACATTTGACGTCTGTCTAGCTCACATAGAGCAAAATTTGCGAGGCACGGAAATTGTTGAATACGTCATGTCAATGGCTGAGTTGAAGAAATGACTGTAACTATAACCATTTTTGGTGAAAGTGAAATAAACGATACGGATAGTGAGATTTTAAACAGCTGTGTAAATATGTAAGCCATAGCTTGATTTGGTATCAAGATATTAACATTTCTTTTTTGACTATGTTATGTACATTTAAATATCAAAATTCCAAACTTGTTTGTCTCGAAAGTGTGAAAAGTGGATATAGGCACTTCTTACGCTCAACTGTTGATGTGTTCTTTATGATGTGCGTGTTCACAATGATAGTATTTGCTATGCGTGTGTTTGCTGTGCCTGTAATTTCACTTTCACTCCCCGGGTGATACTACTGACTCAAGTGTCTTCAGGCCATTCCCAAAGGGGGGACATTAATATGTTCTTATGCACAGTAGAATTGTAAACTCATTCATCAATGTCATGCTCATAACTGTGCCTGAACTGCAACAGGGAGCTGCTGCTTTTTCTTTCCTAATCCTTACTTTCGTCATTTTCCTCTGCTTCTCTCGTATGTTTGTCACACGCTCGTGACCCGCTATTTCCAGAGTGCCTTCATAATTGAAGCAGACTTTGTACTGTTGAAGAAAAATAGGTGAGCAGAGTAAGCCCGATTCCCTGTAAGGACTTATCTGTTGACATCCACACCTTGGCGCACATAATATATGACTTTATGCAGTTGCGAGCGCCTTAAAACCTTACTAAAGCTAAAACTGATTTCTTTTTTGAGTGTTTTTGCTATGTTAGGCTAATGGACTTGTAATCGTGAGGTTGTGGGTTCGGCGGTTTGAGCCTCTGGCCCGACATTGTGTCCTTGGGAAAGGCACTTTACGTGATTTTCCTCACTTCACCCTGGTGAGAGTGAGTACCCAGCCATAGACTTCTGATACGTTTTGCTGGCCAGACGTACAAACAAATATAATTGTATTATTATGCGCATTGTTGGTTTGGTTCAAGTGTGCATGCATGTGTGTATGTGGTTTGTGTGTGTGTATGTGTGTGTGTGTGTGTGTATGTGTGTGTGTAGTGTACCTTATATGTAGTGTATGTGTGTGTATGAGTATGTGTGTGTGTGTGTGTGTGTGTGGTGTATAATATGTGTGTGTGTATGTGTTGTGTACATGTGTGTGTGCATGTGTGGTGTGTGTGTATATATGTGTCACAATATGGTAGAATCAGGCGCACATCAATTTTTGGATATATTATTATATATTGAGTTATTGGTAATATACTCCTAATGCTGGTTCATTTGTCTTGGTTTCGAGGAAAAAAAACCCAGTACCCACCATTTTATTGAAAGAGAGGGGGGTCTCTTGGTGTCAGAATTATGATTTGTGAGAAAATGGCTGTCAAAACTTGTCGATCTTGAGTGAAAAAACTTTATAAAAATTGCTGAACGGGTGGAAAAGTTTTGTTCTTTTTTTAGG